ATGTTGTGGTCCTTGGTTGTTTTGAAATCATTTCATTCGTATCATAAATAACAGTAGGAAATATTTTCATAATAACTTTTTGCCACAAACTATTCTTTTAATACCATTTTCAGTACTTGAAATGCTCCTATTGCACTAAGACCCTCTTAAATAATTATTTTAGAATTACAAAAAAATATTATGGGAGGTCAGGTGATGCCTACAAATCACTTTTAAGCAAAAACCCTAACTATGTCTTTTGAAAATTTTGGGTGAAACACCCTCTTTTCATTTCTGCCCCATTCTTGAGTTATAACTGCAACCCTAATTTCCCTAGCTCTATTAATTTTGAAACTTTTCCAACTTGTATTCTTTCCAACCAGAACCTTAAATCCAGAAGATCAGCTCCATTGGCATCATTTAAGTCCACCAAACACTCCTCTGAAGTTTCTGTCCAGAACTGAATTCTGGTCAAACTGCACTAACAAGTTTCTCATCTTGCCAAACTAACTCCACCACTATCTTTATCATCTAAAGAGACCTCATCCTGCCAAATTTCATCATCAACAGAATCTCCTAGCTAGCCCTAGCATTTTGTCAAACACCTTGTGGGCATGACAGAAATGTTGCCACTTTCTAACTTACACTGGACACATGGTCATTTGGCCAAACCAGCATGCCCATTAGCTCTCTCTCAACCAGACTCACAATCCTGTCAAATTGCACTGTCATCAGAGATCCCTAGGTGGCCCTGGCATTTTGTCGAGCACTTTGTGCACGTGCTCTAGGCACGGCGAGAGTGTGTGTTTTGCACGCGTCGGCACAGAGCTACTATCGCCGCTCTGCTGCCTCCCCCTCTCAACATGATCCTTCTCTGGATTAGCCCGACCACCAGGACCCTCGCCGACACCTCCGCTTGGCCCATAGCGCTGCCCACCACCATCCACGCCGACCAGGGCCGCCGCCCGACGAGTCCCGCACGACCACGTCTCCTCCCAACCCGCGTGGCGTGTCCCGAGCAGCCCAGCTCCTCCCAGGAGTAACTGCGGGCGGCCATTGTCCTCATCGACCGCCCTGCCGACCTCAACGGCCACGCCTACCATTGTAATGATCGCCGCTGCGGTGCTTATCCTCTGGACACTGCGGAGCCGACCCCCTCGCGTTATAAAAGGCCCCCTCGAGCTCGTTCAGCTCATTCCTACCTCTTTAGCATGTGTTGGTTTTCTCTTGAAGAGGAAAGGGTGATGCAGTAAAGTAGCGTAAGTATTTCCCTCAGTTTTTGAGAACCAAGGTATCAATTTAGTAGGAGGCTACACGCAAATCCCTCGTACCTACACAAACAAAT